ATTATGTTTAACTAGTTATAGTGTTGATTGAGGATTAGTCAGTGGAAAAATAGGTATTGTTGCTTCAGGTGATTCGAAATTATCAGAAATTTGTAACGTTAAAGAATCCGAGACGCCTAATTTAATTATAAAATTCATATCAGAAAGATTAGTTTAGTGTTAATTCTAGTAGGCTACGGAGTTTTGATTTTAAACGTTTGTTTAGCCAACAGCTACCTGAGGATCTAGTTATTTTACTAGTGCAGTTGATAGTACCTAAATTTTCAATCTCATTATCTAAATTTTGTTCGCGTTTTAGGCTAATAATATAATAAATCAATCCATAAACCCGAATACGATTAGCAACAACGACTATGATGGGTTTATTGATAAATGCTAAAGGCGATCCAGATGATTTCTAAATTCAAAAGATATGAAGATATAGTAAAACGTATGTACGGGCCAGGTTAACATGGAGGTTGTTGAAGTATATGACGATTTAAAAATAATGAACATGACCAGAAAATAATTTTAAAGTCAAGACTGCTTATGAAACTTCAGGCAGGAATATGATGCGTTATAAACATTCCATATGAAGTTACTGCATTTAGCTTAGTGACACTTACAAATATATGGCAAAATCAACTGAAAAACATATACATGTTAAGTATAAAAAAAATCATCCAGTAAAATAGTTGAACTCGCCTGGGTTATTTTTGAAAATTAGATTATTCAGTGGACGACATATATAAAGCCATTCGTGAGGAGTAGTAATGATCCAAAAGTATCCAGAATAAAACATGCAGTATGGTCATCACTTTTAGGGTGCTCGATGCTGTTGAGGTTTTTGGGACTCGCTCTGATCAGAACAACTGAATGAATCCAGATAATTGTGTGTGCCATCTAAAATGAACTTATGATTGCAGAAAACTTATAGCTGGAACTCACCGTATTTTTTGGAGATGTGTCATCCTTGTTGTTTGGCAATGGAACTCAAAAATATGAAATTAGGCAGGCAGTGGTCGGAAGAAAAGATATTACAGGATAGTGCATAGTTTAAAACAGGATGAGGTGTTAAGTGAAGGAACACTGAGAATTAGATCCAGATAACTATTTAGTCCTTGATCGCATTGTTAGTCAATGTATATTTACGCTATTTACAGGTCGAATTTGCTAGAGCTTGATGTTTAAACAAGACTATGTCGCTGAAGCATGTAAATGCTATTAAAGCTTGTTAACAAACCATCAAAGCTAATTAGTTAATATAGACGACCAGTTTTTATTATCGATTGAGCTAGTTTGTCATGAGGACTAATCAGTATAACATTACGATAATGCATGTGAGCACTAATCAGAAGACTATTAGAATACAGTGTTAACATAAATATAAAATCGATCGAGAAAGTTGAAGTGGAAATAAGGATTAATAATAATAGGTTGCGTTTCTTTAGTTGGGCTCACCAATGTAGAACTATGGTCTACTATGATATTAGTACTGCTCTAATAATAGACCTAATCCCAAAATTGTCGATTTGTCATGATATAACTGCCTAATCTATAAGATCTTACGTGGAAGTCACACCATCGACTACACCAACTCACTGTATCGTATCAATTACCAATACATGATGAGGAACAAGGTTAGGCTAGAGAAAGAACAATATATTTAATATGAATAGAAGATATAAAGTAACACTGAGATGGACCACGCCTGCATGGACGAGCCATGCCACTCGATCAACTCCAGTCCAATCAATTCATTCTCCGCGCCTTCTCCATTGTTAGGTATTTCTCCGTGTTAAATATTGAATATCTATTTTCTGAGTAGTCTTGTGTTCAGCTTTGAAGATTGTGTGGTTATGGTCCAATCCCACTACAACATTACACAACTTAGGGAATTTCACTTTAGTCATGCTTAACCATCCAGCTGCAACTCACGACTAAAATAATAAGAAAACGAAATCCCAGCCCAGGTACCAAACGTTTATATGATGATTACAAATTTGCAACGAACCTTTAAATATCAAGTTCGCAAAGTAAAATTTAAAAATACTAAACCGAAGCAGTGCGAAACCGAAAGTGTCCATGGTCAGAGATGTAAACGAACGAGTTCAGAGCCCGAGTAAAATAAATGTATCCAAAACATTGGAAATTAATTATATTCGATCTAAAAGTTAACCATCCATCAAATAACTTCCGTTATTTTCATAAGAGCGAAGACTTTCCAAATGTAATAGTCACAAATTTGACGTGACCAGAAAAACTTAAAGTAGGACATTAACGGTTAACGCACGATCTGACCATACCTATCTGAATGCACTAGAGTTCCAATTACAGTCGAATGTATTTTTCACTGTTGAGTGTACAAAGGTCGTTTTACGTTTCGGTTGTTTGATTCTATTGGTATATCATAGTCTTTAATTTCGCATACGTGTTAGATAAGTCCCGTAACTAAGTCATTTACAATCGGAATGTCCTGAACGAAGGAATTTGGGGCGGTCATATTTCTGTTGCTATTATACCAGGCATATTGTTTTTATACGTTATAGCAAGTATGTTGCTTTGTCATGCTTTGCATGTCACTTGGATTTACTTTTCAGTCAGTCGTGAGAACCGTTGATTGGACCTATAAAGTCCATAGACCTAGTCAAATAGACATGTTAGCAGTCACATGCACATCAAAATGATGGTAGACGTTGGCGATTGATCACTTGAATAAGCCCAAAATAACCTACTAAACAAAGTTGAAGTTTATGCGTTTTCTTGATTGTTTGGCCTCATACCATTTTAGGGGAGCAGATGGTTATGCATGCTTGCCATGTAAATTCCTTATAATATTCCCATAAAAATGATTACACAAATCCCACTTATGGTTAAGGTATATTAAACGAAAATTCCACAGATCAATGACTACAAAAACTACTTACCAGAGAGAATAAATCTGAAGTTGATCTATGAATCGTCGTGAAGAGGTAAGTCGTATGCTTCCGTTTTCCAATTGACTGCTTCCTACTCAACTTTGAATCACCTCACTATTATTCAAATTTTCACTCAAAGCTCGTGTTCAGACAGCCTGTAGTCTATAAAATGTCCGAAAAAATGAACGATTTTGCCTACGTTTTAATGCCTTTCTTTCAGATGTCGACACATCACAATGGACAGAGAAACTGCTTGCTTTGGATTTGTAGTGAGGTGGAAATCCATACTGAGCTAAATACAGCATAATATGTTTGTCATGTCGCCCTTTGATTATTTAGAGATTTCGGTTACTTCATTTATTTTTTATTCAAAACCGAGAGTTTACTCAAAACATCCTCAACCAGGCTCCAACTAGCAGGTTTTGTAACTCATTCAAATTTACGATACAGTACATGCATCTTTGTTTGACGCTGTATATTTTTCTGACCCACTGAAGCGGCTTCGGATTAATTCGCAAAGTTCTGAATCATAACCCTAAGTATTGCACCATTTGTAAAAATAGAAAACAAGAGGGTCTCGCAATATTTTGGGTGAAAGCTGTTTATATATAAAGTGGTACTCCATTTTCTAGTTCACCATCCAACAATAATCTCATGGTAAAAGCCGATATTCTTCATATGTCACGAGGCTGAGGCTCCTTCTAACAACCAGAATGACACTTAGTGTAGGTACCTGAAGTGTTCGGATAATGTGAGAGACCATGAGGACTAATCAGATATCTATGGAGATGTGGTGATACAACTTGAAGGTGCTCGGAATAAGATAAATCCATTGAACCCAAACTGGAGTGAAAAGATTACATCCAGAAAACGTTCTGTTTTACTGTAGTCATGAAGAAGAAAATGATTATCACACACGAGTTGCACTGATGCTGTAAAAAGAAGCACGGAAAGCAATTATAATATGTAAATGCCATGGACCCAGAATCAGGAAAGCATACTTCGAAGCAAAGTAGATGGGGATTACGATGAATGATATCCAGTGCTTTATATTCACTAACGATAAAGATCAATTTTACGACAATCAATTATAGTGAAGTGTCCAGGAAAGGACCCAACGATCCTGATGGGATACCGAAACTTCAGCGTCGTAATGGATAGCGCGTATATGAAAATATCATGGGACGACATGGACTGGCTAGAAGAAATGAACATGACTGGTGAGAGATTCGCGAATTCGCGTGCATTCAACAAAATTGTTATAGGTGGCACAATATTCCCCGACGAACACATAAACAAGCTACCAAAATCTCATTGAATCACACTAAAGAGAGTCAGGCTGACCATATTAGCACCACTAAAATACTCAAAAAGTCAATGGAGGGTGTGAGAACCAGGAAAGGAGCAGTCATAACTCCAGATCACCTGGTAGTTGCCACGATGAAACTGGCAGTATGGATATGAGAATCTTATGGAACCTTCTTTGGGACTGTAGAGTGAGTGCCTGAGGAGGTCTTCAGCACCATACGGAATTTACACGACGAACTACACTGCAAAGTGGTGCATGGAGGTCAGCTGACAGACGCATTCCAAGTGAGGACCGGAGTCAGACAAGGCTGTCTACTCACGCCCTTTCTCTTTGTCCTGGTGGTCGATTGGATTCTATAGACCACCACATCTGATAAGAAGTACGGAATGCAATCGACAACGTGGATGCAACTAAACGATTTTGACTTAGAGGATGTCCTAACTCTTCGCTGGTGCTAAATGAATACCACAATTAAGTCTACGACGGTTTTTATTCTCTCTAACTACCTGTCTTTCTAACTAAATTAACCGAGTAAAGTGAGACAAGTGGAACATATATTCTCTTCTAAATATTCGGCTTAGTCATTTTTCATTCATACATCTAAACTCCCCATCAATATATGGTTCCTCTCAAAACTAATGGTATTCATAAATGTTTGTTTTCGACGTATTATACTTCAAGAGCTTTGATGTCAGCAGAACATACTGAATAGTCAATTCACTGTTTCTCCTCGATAAACTTTTCAGTGTAATTCGTAGTTTGAATACTTTACTAAATGCTCAATAAGCAATCTCAGAAGCACATATTTTGAAGTAGTTGTCTACAGTAAACTTAGCCATACATACTTATAGGTAAATGACTTCGCAGTGAACACTATGCAAGACGCAGTTTCTCAACCCAAGCGGAATAACTATATGAGAAGGCCAAAAGAGTTAATTGACAGACGTTTTTGGTTATTGTTACGAAAGCTCTAATTCAAGTTAAAGATAACTAATGGATTTATTCCTTTTCTAAAGTCAGTTACTAAACTCACTGCAAGTTGCATTTAAAAGCATCTCTTTCGGTTCGAAAACTCACCAGTGACATCACTGTAGAGATGCTTGTTCAGAATGATAGTGTAAAACAAAACAACAATAAAGACGGTGATCCCCAGCCGATACATGCCTCTGTTGAAAAGCAACAGTATCCAAAAAAGAAGGCTGCCCGGAGTTCCAAACATTCTCATGCATCTCGGGGTAGCGATCGTCCTCGTCAAAAGTCACTGAATACAATGTTTTGTGGGTGTCTGGTATCCGGATCAGAATGTGGTAATACAATGGAGCATCCCCCACTTGATAACAACCGACGACTTCTTCCTACCAGTGCTATCCAGTCAATGGAATCTCTTAGCATTTCCAAAAATGCAGGTTCACAGTGTTTTCAGCCATCCCAAGTATCTGATGACTCAGGTTCAATTAAACTGCAACCAGTTGTTAACTTACCTTCTTGTGCTCTTATAACAGATGCTTTGCTTTCACAAACCAAACGGGCAAGTACAGTTAAGATAAGTGCACCTTCCAATGGAGTAAAGCACTCAGGTTGGCACAGTTTTAGATTTAGTCGTAAAAAGGAGTCAAATTTGTCCAAGACAAAACAACGTGATTCCACGATAAGGATATCTGTTACCAGGCCCTTAAAAAGCGATATTTCCCACCCTGAAGCAGAACAACAGTCAGAAACAGTTCAATCCCTTGTGTTCTCACCATTACCAAACCAAGCAGTACTGGAAACAGTAAATTCTGGAGAGGTGAGTTATCTGGATATTTAATTGTTGCTTTATTCTGCCTAGTTAACAATTCGACTCTACTGGTTCCTAGCATTGAGGGTTTTATCATTGTGATTAACATTTGGAAACTAGTTTTCTACTGTATAGCCCTGTAATCTTGAGTTTTTCAACGTGTTTTGGTGACGTCAACCTCCAAATAGTTCGGATTGTAGCTTCATGTTTCGATTCATTGTAACACACCGTTGTTTGTCCAGTTAAAAGTTGGAGATGGGTCTTACCGGGTACTTATCGAATACCGTTTTCCTTGGGATTATCCACAGTCACTAGTTGTACTTCACATAGTATAAGGTGGCCGACCTCTGGAAACTAACCCGCAGATTTAAATCCGCCGTTCAACATAAGGAGCTAACTCAAATTAAGGGTGTATAAAATGAAACCCAATTCACTAAGTTTCGTATACTAGACAAGTAATAGCATCCCTCGGGAGAAATGTTAGTGCTACTGAGTTCTCTTAACTAAAGCAGACTGAAAGCTTGTAACTAAGTGATTGGAACTCAAAAACTGGTCACTAATGCGGTAGTTTTATTTATTTATATGGATAAAAATATTGATACAAAGGGGCATCGAATTCATATGTACCACACAAGTCACTTGGTTTGTATGTGGACTGTGATACTCCCCGAGTACCCAGACCGAACTACGTGGTTTTCTTAGAAGGCCACAGCTGGAGCCCTTGACCTAGAGGTCTGATCCACAAGGCAGTGGAGCAACGTCAGGAGATGCTTTCCTATGGTAGCCAGTGACCAATAATTGGTTCATACACCATTTGTTCCTTCAGGATCCTGGAACCCATTGGTTTGGAATCAGGATTTTCCTAGGTGGACTCGCCGTGTCCACCAACCCGGTTAAAGCGCCAGAAAATCGCTTTTCGTCCTTTTAATTTCGTAAATAAAACCCCCGACACGTGAAGGCAGTGCATGGGACCTCCCTGGCAATGGCTGTAATGAGGTAAAATCTAGTACTTATATGTATCAACCTAAGTTGCTACTCTTCACACCAGTATAACATAACATATGTATTGAGAAAAGCAAAGGAATAAAGTAATAACTAGTCATAGTGAAAAAAAATAAAGGTGTGGAGAATGTCTTAAGCAACAGATAGAATTTAGGGAGGAAATGAAGGTAAATTAATAATGCTATATTTGAGTTGATAAGAAAGGCAGGAAATGTATTCATCGGCAACATTAGCGTATATGCTAGACTATACATTCATTCTGTGCACACATTATAACCAGGTCTTACAGCTTTTATTTATCTAGGTGTAATAACGAAGTAGCTCGTATACATATTAAATTACAGTGAACATCGTATATATTAAACCTTTTAAGGAAAAACCATTTAGTGTGGTGTAACATGCAGATTCAATACCGTCTAGTAAATTTCTTTATTTACTAGTATTTACCACTAAAAAAGTATCATACAGGTTCCACATTTAAGCTCAGTAATTTTCTGTTTTATGGCAATCTCACCATAAATGTAAGTTTACTTATTATAACACTCGTGAAGTAAGCTTATTGCACGTTATCATTTGCATTGTATTAACTAAATTATATATACACCTAGTTCCAAATCTTGAGACTTTCTTACTTTTACTTTCCCTCAGCAAAAGGCTGCGTTGCTTGGACCGAAAAGTGAAACAGACAAAAGCAAAAAGTGTTTTGTAATTGACTTGGACGAAACTTTGGTGCATAGTTCATTTAAAGTAAGTCTATTTTCCATATATATATATATATATATATATATATATATATATATATATATATATATATATATATATAGTTAATTAACGGCTAATTTATCAGTCAGTTCACTATTGAGACGTATATGACTCGTACTTGGTTTAAAGTTTTATTTTTATTTTATACACCAGACTTTTTACGGTCAAGCAAATGACATCAAACGTAGTTTGGATTGCCATATTTTACTGTTGGTTTTTTATATGCTTTTTAATTTCATATTTTACACTGCTGTTAGTACTCTTACAGTAACCTAAACTTACCAACTTCTCGACTGCCTACTTGCGTTTATTCGCTTCATGAGGTTAAGGAATTAGAGGACTATTAGTACACTCACGTCCTGAATGAAAACCAACACGATTTGCGCTTTTTATACTACCTGGGGAAGCCCTGGAGGGATTGGAAACCTTCACGTACCTGGGCAGTTTCATCGATAAACAGGGATGATCTGATGCAGACGTAAAGGCAAGGATTAGCAAAGTAAGTACAGCATTCCTACAGCTGAAAAACATATGGAACTCGAAACAAATGTCAGCCAACACCAAAGTCGGAACCTTTAATACGAACGTCAGGACAGTTCTGCTATACGGAGATGAGACTTTAAGAACTACCACATTCATCATCAAAATGGTATGTATTTATAAACAATTGTCTACGTAAGATACTCAATGTCCGTTGACCGAATACCATCAGCAACACCGTAGTGTGAGAGAGAAAAAGCCTACTTCCAACTGAAGAGAAAATTAGGAAAGGACACCGGATGTGAATAGGACATACATTGTGGAAACCAGCAAGTCGCATCACATGACAAGCGTCAACCTAGAATCTTGATATGGAACGGAAAAGAGGGAGACCGAATAACACACTGCGTCGGCAAATGGAAGCAGATATGAAAAGGATGAATATCAACTGGAAACAACTGTAAAGCATTGTCCATAACAGAGATGGATGAAGAATGCTGGTGGCCGGCCTATGCTCAACGAGTGGTAACAAGTGTAAGTAAGGGTAGTACAGAGGTAGCCACTGGATTCTAGTACCCCAATGATTTCCTCATACGTTAGGCAAGTCCTTTTTAAAATGTGGTAATACTTAATTGAAGTTTGACGAATTAATTCATTCTTCGTATCACTTTTAAGAATGTGGTTGATCCTCTGAATAAAGTTTCACCTCTTTTTGCGTCACTCACCGAAGTCATCAATCTTTAGCCCGTTTCAAGCATCAGGTTTCATGATCTTAATAGAGTCTTTGCCCTCGTGAATTTGTGCAAATGGTTGTTTTTATTTATTTATTTATTTGAACATATAAATATTGGTACAAGAGTGCGCCAAATATATATGCGCCACACAAAACAATGAGAACTTAAAGAGAAGGAAAAAGAAAAAAGGTAAGGAGCGTTAAAAAAAGAACGATAACGAAGAGATTGGTGTAAGGTAGTGCAATAATAATAATAGTAATAATGGGGGAACGGAAAGGTACAATCAAAAGAAATCTTTCAGTTAAGGAAGATACAACCACTTTTTACGAAGGAAGTAAAAGAAGGTTACAGCAGGATCGCCACTGGCTTCTATTCTGAGCCATATCTGATAACGTCTCTAGCCACTGTGTAGCATCATCTCTCGGACCCCAGCCAGGGAGTCGTGAAGGACCAGCACAACTCAGTCCTTTGCAGCTTTCATGCCACGACACCATGTCACATACTGACCACCTCTTCGTTTTTTCCAACCAGTCCCAGAGTCGGCAAATAATGCACGACGTGGAATTCTCTGGGACGACATTTGGAGAACATGTCCAAGCCACCGAAGTCGGTGTTTCAAGATGGTGACACCAATTGCATTATCGTCTCTGTGCCCGAACACACGATGCCGAACCTCTGTATTACTAACATGGTGTTGCCACTGGATGTCAGCCATCCTTCGGAGACAGCGATGATCGAACACAGAGAGTCGTCTAACGTCCTCAACTCGGAGAGGCCAGGTTTCACAAGCATAGAGCAAAACTGCTCTCACCGACGCGTTGTAGATCCGATCTTTTACAGCCAGACCGACATCACGAAGGCGCCAAAGATGACCCAGATTGGCATAAGCCGCTCTGGCTTTCACTATACGTGTATTGATCTCATCACTCACGCCACCACCAGCACTTATGCAGCTACCCAGATACACAAACTTCTCTACTACTTCTATATGTTCACCATCCAGGGTGAGTACAGGATTAGAATCCTGCCAGTCTTGTAGAAGTACTTTGCACTTCGAAGGTGCAAAGCACATACCATACTTACGGACACTGGTTGCCAACTGATTAAGTGCGGATTGCATGCCTTGGGCATTATCGCACAGTAAGACAATATCGTCCGCATACTCAAGGTCGAGATGTCTTTCTCCAGGCAACAGATCCACACCACCATTACTTACATTCATCAGAGCTGTTTCCAGAATGTCATCGATGGCAAAGTTGAAGAGGAATGGTGAGATTGGGCAACCGTGTCTAACCCCACTGCTTGAATGGAACAATGGAGAAAGGTGGTTGTATGCTCTCACTCTGCCTGAGGTGTTTGTATGTAGGGCCTTTAGGATGTTAATAAACTTCTCAGGCACACCCTTCTTCAATAGGCAATCCCAGAGAACAGTCCTATCCAACGAATCGAAGGCAGCCCTGATGTCAAGAAACACTACGATTATTGGCCTTTGATAAGTATGGTGGTGTTCTAACATTTGACGGAGGGTGAAGATATGATCAATACATCCTCGACCAGAACAAAACCCAGCCTACTCCTCGCGAGTCAATCTTTCTCGGGTTTTGAACAACCTACGAAGTATGACGGGAGCCCATAGCTTGGACGCAATCGGAAGTAGACTTATCCCCCGATAGTTTTTACAGGAACGACGTGGACCTTTTTTAAAGATAGGGACAACTATCGACTCATTCCATGACGTTGGTACACTCTCTAGCTCCCAGACCTTTGTAAACAATGCAGTCAGTTCCTTAGCCAGAAAGAGCCGGAGGTAAGTCATCTGAACCAGGTGATTTGTAGCGCTTCAAGAGTTGGAGTTCCTGGCAGACTTCCACCTCATTTGGTGGATCAGTCGTCACCGGCCATGGAGGGCAGGACAGTCTGACCGATGTTGCCGAAGCAGCAGGCCAGTTGAACTGCCCTTCGAAGAATTCTTGCTCAACGTCTACTGTGGTTAACAGATGCGCATGAATAGGTTTTAGGGATTCTCATGAGAACCGGTTTTTGGAGGGAGATTTTTGCCAAACAGCAACCAAAAAACTGCTTGTTCAATACCTAAAGTTGTGTTGATCTTATCAAGTAGTGCTCATTTTTCCTATTAGCGGTTATACATTTTGAGTTAATCTGATTTCATGGGACTTACTGTTTATTGTTTTTTTTCTACTCAGGTAATCGAACATGCTGATTTTAAAGTAGGAGTTGAAATAGATGGAGTCACACACCGTGTGTATGTTTTAAAGCGACCACATGTTGACCTCTTCTTGTCGACCATGGCCGATCTATATGAATGCGTACTGTTTACTGCTAGTTTAGCTAAGGTGAATTTTCTATTGAAAATTTGTTCATCTGTTTATTCGTTCACGTATTAATATTTTGATCTCCATATTCGTTCTCCATCTACCGTATTTACCAATTATAATAATGATTTTCTATTCAAGTTAGGTCGACAAACATGAATGAACAACATGAGCAACAACAACCTTGGATAATCAATCGAATGGAACGTTAATAGGTACTGAGTGTTCCCATCATTCTGTCCAGTCAGACGTATTAGTAAACCAAACTGTGTAACTTCGTTTGTGGATGAAGTTACTTGGTTCTATGACAGGATATTTGTAATCAAACGTGAAAACTTAGAAAAACGAAGTAGTTATTTTATAGTTCTAGTAAGAAGCTATGACTCGTGTATTCGATTAACTTGATGGTAAAGTGTTTATGTACTGTTGGGATTCGGTCATGATCATAGAGCATCGTAAAGCAACTCAAGTTGGGAACTATGCAGCACTGGTTTGCGACGGCCCAGTGGTATTGTACTGTATGAGAGCTAAACGTTTTGTATTCAGTTCCATGTATGAACTTACTTATGAATCGCTACCAAATCTCTAATTAAAGAATACTTGTTCACTTTCCCAGTTTTCACTGGTTCTCTATCCAGTATCAGTCTGTGGTAAATTATCTGCAAGTCGATTTTTTTCTGCTGACCTCAATAAAGACGAGGAACCATTGTTAGAGGGATAGATACAAAAATGTCTTCATACAGTGGGTTTACTATAGCTATAAGAAATCTGAAGCGAGGGAGAGCAACAGGCCCTGACAGATTTAATCCTGAGATTTTTATGGATGATGGTTCAGTATTAACAGTGAGATTAACTGAGGTCTTAGGTAGAATTTGGGAACGACGTAATCCCATCTGACTGGTCTCAACCACTGGTTGTGCCAGTTTATAAGAAAGGATAAAAGTCCTCTTGTGACATTCACAGAGGAATCAGTTTGACTAATATAGTGTCTAAAATATTAGCTTCAATAATACTTCGACGCCTAACTAAAGCTCGTAAAGAGCAGACTAGAGAAAACCAGGCTGGTTTTTGACCTGGACGTGGTTGTATAGACCAAATATTTACACTATGTCAGGTCCTAGAACCTAGACACACATTCAGATGCCCCACAGTAGTAGTATATCTCGACCTTTAGGCGGCATTCGACTCTGTTGATCGTGAGGTTCTATGGCAGTGTTTGTCACTGAAAGAAGTACCAAAGAAGTACATTAACCTTATAAAGACTTATGGCGAACTGTCATCAGAATTGATTACCTCGAGTGGTGTTCGTCAGGGCTGTCCACTCTTTCCATTCTTGTTTCACTTCGTCATTGACGTGCTTTTGGGGATGACACTTTCCTCATCTAAATTTGCAAGGGTTGAACTTCTACCGAGAGATTCACTTTTTGACCTCGAATATGCCGATGACATAGTTCTATGTGGTGAAGACGCTGACAAAGTGCAGAATCTTCTGACCATTATAAGCAACAATGCAAGCATGTTCGACATGCGATTCTCCCCCTCGAAATGCAAAATGTTACTTCAGGATCAGGTTGCATCGACACCCGAACTAATGATTGGGGGCGAAGTAGTTGAGCGTGTTGACCGCTTCACTTATCTTGGAAGTCTCATCAGCCCTTGTGGTCTGGTGTGTGACGAAATACATAAGTATTAGCACAGCTGGGGACCAAAATAATATTCTCCACACGAGTAAGGAAATGAAATTGTGGAGAAATATAGGGAGGAGAAGGAAGTATAATCAAAACAAATTAGTAAATTAAAATAAGTGAACGGGAATCGGTTACAGTAGGATACACAGTACAGTACATCTAGGAAGAATTCTTCCATTTAAAGGAGTTCCTCTCACTTATGAACAGTTTCAAAGTAAACTACAACCGGATTCGTCCTATGGAGCTTTATCTCATACCACGACTCCATTTCATAAACTCACCAATTCTGCCTTTTCCACCCATTCTCAGCGCCCACAAATATTATACTGTGCGTATGCCACTGGAATGACATTCGTAACACAAGCACAAGCCACCGAAGCTGATGTTTTAAGTTGGTGACAGTGACTAAGTTATGGCTGTTGCGCCCAAACCTCAGCATTAGTAAAATCGTTTTGCTACTTGATATTATTGATCACTCGAAGATAACTATCGTCGAACTCGGAGAATCGCTAAAAGTCCATAAATCGAAGGGACCAGTTTTCATAAGCATATAGCAAAACTTTTGTCCCTGTTGTGATGTAAACCCAACATTTTGGACCCAGACTGACCTCGTGATGGTACCGACGATGACCCAGTTCGGCATAAGCCACCCTCACTTCCATTATGCATAGATTTATCTCATTAGCCATACCACCACCAGCACTCGCACAACTACCCAAATGCACGGACTTTTCGACTACTTCTAAATGGCCGTCACAAAGAGTGAGTGTGGGCAAATGTCACGGTCAATCTTATAAATGTACCTTGGATTCAAACGGTGCAAGTAAATGCTGTACTTGGATGCAATCGGAATTAGATTTATCTCCCGACAGTTTCTGCTCCCACTTCATTACACGAATCTGGAACACTAACTCTTAAACCTTTCTAAATAACCTAATCAGTCTCCTAACCAGATGTTCACCATTCTCTTTAAAGAGGAGCCAGGAGTAAGTCGCCTGACCTTGATAACTTGTAACGCTTCAGGAGATCCGCCTCGTCAGGTAGATTAGTCGATACGGGTCAGGAAGAGTCCGGTTCCACTTTCAAAATCCTCTCCTATGGACACTTTTCTACATCTGTCAGGGAAACATGTTTTTTAGGGGAGTGAGAGGACTGAAAGCGAACGTCTTACTTTAAACTTAGAGAGAGGATCCACCTGGGGGAGTTGGAGAACTCTGACTCCAATCTAATAGCGCATATGGACTCCGGGATCTTGAGGGAATGAATGGTGTATGAACCTATGTTTGGTCGTCAGGCACTGTGGGATTCAATCTTCTGACGTTCTGCTCTTGCCGTGTGAAGTAAACCCTTTAGTCAAAGGCTTGGGGAGTGTCTCCTCATGAAGATCACCTGCTCCTGTATGTGCACCGTGACAGTATCCCAGCTGCACACAAATATGACAATAAATGCTAATAGATGACGGAATACTCAAATTTACCAGTAAAGTCTGTTACGTAAATATTTGTTGGTTTATGTGTACATGTGATAAATTTTATTACTGTTTCTCTTGTTACATAATATTCATTTAGTATGCTGATCCAGTTGCAGACTTCATTGATAAATGGCATGCTTTCCGATACCGGTTATTTAGAGAATCTTGTGTATATCATCGAGGTAATTATGTAAAGGATCTTAGTCACTTAGGCAGACCAATCAACCAAGTTGTTATTTTAGATAATTCACCAGCATCCTATATGTTCCATGCAAGTCATGCAGTAAGCTAAATATAATTTATTAATACTATTATTATATGTCGGTTTTTATTCCTTGATGTTTAACGAAATTTTAATATCAGTGCTTTGTTTCCTAAACCAAATGGTCCAAAACGACCCTGCAGGATTCTCAATTAAGCCATCTAGCTCAGAAAAAACAACATCAGAGATGGCAATAGTGTTTTGGTCCACGTGCTACTTACGGTATAATTTTAGCCAGTATTTATACGATGAATATTACTTACGAACTATATTAGGTTAGCGTTAATATTTTACGCCCCGACCGTTGTTGCTACCTTGACGTGGTGGTCGGGCTTGCCTATCGTGATGAAGCAACCGAGCTATACTGGCTGGAACAACCGTTCCTCAAGGTCCTATCATGTCAGACAGGTCGGTTGAAGAGCGGTAAGACTAAAAGCAACAAACCTAAGGTCCAAAGGTGAAGTCGTACTGCTGACTGTACAGAGGTGTGATGGCAGCAATGTGTTTCCTTCAGACAACCAGCATGACAGCGATGCTGCCTTCCCACAAGGAGGGGTGGGGTTAGAAAAGGTCGCTCCTAAAAATACACACCTCACCTTATCCCATGGATATCCGTCTCCGGCGGCAAGGTCCCAAAAAGTACGGAGCTAACATAAAAATTATCCATAAAAAGGTCGTGTGTGACCGACCTCAAGCAGTTGTCCCTTGGGCACTGCGGTCACTCTCCCAGGTCACTAAGACCACCTCTAATCCAATTTCCTTTTCAGGTACCTCCTCCTCCTCTGAATATTTTACGCACATGCATTTGAAAATTTCTATTATATTTGGTAATGGGCATTATTATCACTTCCTAAACGTTTTATAACTATACTTGTGAAAGTAGTTACTTATCTTAACTTATCTAAAATTGGCGTATTTAGTTCAGCGGCTATCTACTGTGAAATGAAATACATTGCCTTATGGTTCATTTTATTATGTGACTGCTAAACACTTGCCACATGAAGTGTAGTTCGAGCAGCTAACTTCCTGGTCATTAATAAATCTCCTAAATAGAAGAATTTTAGAAATACTTAGAGTATTTGACGTTTTGATCGTGTTAGGCTGACAAGGTAGAGAGTCTTTTAGGCATTATAAACAAAAGTGTGCAGCATTCGAAATGTTAAACATTCTGCTTTACTCTGGAGACAACTTTGGCTTTTGATTATTTGTAGTACATCATAAGCTGTATCAACATCAGGCTTTGACTGATTGAAAAGACTTTCATACAACTGTAAGTAAATCCCAATGATTTTCTGTTCCTAATGAAGCTGTTGCTGTTTAGTGTTTGTTTATAGAATGTTATGTCGCTTATTCGTTCTCTCACTTGCTTTGAGTTTTGATTTTTATATGAACAGATGATCGTAGAGTTTCATCGAAGGTAGTTTCAAATTTTTCTTACGGTTGTTGAAGATTTTAAGTTGAGGTAACGTGAGTTTGCTTTGTGTTAACCAGTCGGATAAATAATCACTGATGGTTTAAGCTATGTACTACACTACATATTTCACAATCAGTATCCTCAAAACGCTTAAAATCAGTGATTGGAAACTCTTAGCATTATATAAATAAGAATCTGTCATAGAGTATGCTTTGACGTTTTATATTTTCCCAAGATAGGTTATCGTTTTGTCTGTTTCTTTCTGCAATTGTGCTGAAGCTCTCTTTTAGATTAACCAACCAGTTGCACTATATATTTGCTAAACTAAGTAAATTCTTCGGGGAACCAACGCGTATTGACGGTAGTATTATTTAAGCAGAGGCACTGAGCACTTTAGGATTAACAAATTTAATTAATGATTTATTTGACATGTTTTAGTTTTCCCGTTAGACGTAAACAAAAGTAGCTATGCATCTGTTTTCAAACTTTAACATTCGTATTTAGTTCATCGTTTCTGAGCTCTTTTTAGGTGTTCTGTGGTTACGGGTACTAGAATGATTAAAACTTTAGAGCCTGTTTCGATATTTCCAAGGATGGTTACTGGAACAGTTAAGCGACTTGTTTTGAAGAGTTACTCTTCGTTCATGTACTCTACTTCAAACTTTAATTAGTGGTTCTAGATTATAATTCAAAAAGTGTTTATGACAAACTCATCTAGTTAATATATTTTCTGTTACCTCGGACTTGCCATACTCTTGTTGGTTTTTTAGTACTCATACTAGCGTCGTATGGGTTTAAAAATTGTTAGCTAACAATGGGAGGGTCATTATTAACTAGTTAGGTCGTTCTTTACAATGTTCCATTTTTCTTTCCAGATATTATTTCAGATAAATCATAGACCTATTTCTTGTTGAGGGAGTTCAACCAACCATTTGTGGTGATTGTAAAACGAAATTCGTGTTCGAAAAATGTCTAGTTAGTCGCTTAACATACATTGCTCTCAAATGAACGATATTAAGACGGAAGTTATTCAAAATAAAGGGAACTTAGAGAGTGCATGCATCTTCAGCACTGTGATCGCACTTGCTCTATTTCATCTATCTTGTTCATTTCTGTTGCACTAATGAGAGTCAATGTTTAATTTTTTTGAGATATATTTAGTATGTATCATCAGGAACTTGAAATCCTAAAAATTGTATAGTCGTTTCTCATAAATTCACTCTTTGCTGTTTTGTGTGATGAAATTTATTTTTCTGTTATTTGTTTGTATTGTTATTTCTCAGTAAGTTTTTCAAAAGTTATCTCTTTCATCATCATACAGGTTCAAATCTCATCATGGTTTGATGATGCGAACGATCGTGTTCTACTTGATTTGATTCCTTATTTCGAAAAACTTGCAACACAACCTAACGTGGTTGATTTTCTAAAAAACAATATTCCTCCTACGCCTTATGCTGCTATCGGTACAATTGGTCTACCTCCAGGACTTTTTACACAGGCAACATTCCCGGCTACTACTTCAACTGGCAGTGGTAAATCCCATGACGCCAGTTCAATAATCTCGAATATAAGACGTCCAAATGTTTCTTCTCCACTGCCTGTATCCATTGGAGATAATCACCCACAAGTTTCGAAAGAATCATCTACAACCTTGACTGTATCAATATCTGCTGAGAACAAAACACAATACCTAACTATTACGGATGCTGTTGCTGTAGTTACTAAATTAGATCCTCCAGAAGTTAGTGGTCCTTCACTGAATCCTGTGTTGAAAAATAATGAAAAATCAAGTTTTTCAGCTCCTTTACCCTTAACACCTTATGTCCCTGTCACTTCATCATCTTCAAGTGTTTCAACAACAAAAACATTAACTAACAATTCTGTTCAAACAGTTGCATCTGTTTCAAATGTGTTCACATCCGATGAAATTACACAACCTCAAACCTCTGCATCTCCAGGAATTTCATCTTCGCCCTTAACAAATAAATTGGCTCACATTCCATCTACAAAATACTCAGTTCAGAGTTTATCCATGGGACATAAAACTTTATTAGGTACATACCAAAAGAAACAAAATCCTTCAAATAAACTATTTGGTACTGTTTCAAATTGTTTTAAACCTACCCCTCATATCCAATCAATTGAAAATCATCATTCATCATCACCAAATAAATTAATTACACCTATTCTATTGCCAAATGTCACATCTTCTACCTCTTCTGGTTCATCAACAGTAAATGTAACACATTCATCTACTAGTGATTTTACTCCAAAAATTAATCATTCTATTAAGAATCAATAATATTGTATTATAACCACTGTAATACGTCTTATTTTTTCGTTAATCCTTGTGCCAAAATATGAATATCAATTTTGTTATTAATTTAATAATCATTATAATAGTACATCAGAATAACTCAATTGATAGTTTCATATTTTGAAAATTCTTGTTTTCCCTATCAAGCAATTAATTAAAAAAAGAAGAAGATATGGACAAGTGAATTTATTAATGTATTATGTGTAATAACAATTATATATTGCCAATTACTTATTCTTTCTGCTCAATCAAAAATATTAATAGTGTTTCTTCAAATGTTTCTAGTTCTACTAAGAATATTTTAATTCCTTTATTGTTTATACATGTGAATTTACACATCTATATTGTATATATATATATATATATATATATATATATATATATATATATATATATATATATATATATATATATATATATATATATATATATACAATATTTTATGTATATATTCATGTATACATGAGAAAAAACACAGTAAATATGTTATCTTTACTCTTATTTGTACTTCCGTCTAAATTGATTTCTTCATTGAAGAAAAAGCTTCCATATAAATCTATCTGTTAGTTTAATGTAGTGAATATGTACAGTTATTCTTTGCTTGTTTCGTGTTTTATCCGACATTTCACTTACATTATTGTTCACACCAATAAAATAATTATTTGAATATTTGTTCAAATCCATCTTTCGATATATATATATATATATATATATATATATATATATATGACACTTGTGCAATACTACTAATGAAGATACATCTTCTTTTTTCTGTTTTCGTACTTTTTAAACATTTTTTGTTTCATATAATAAAATCAGTCGTTATTTGTGTGATCTGCCTTTGTTTGACTTTTTGTTTTACTCTATTTCATTTTATTCTAATTCACAAATAACACCATTAATTTCAGTAGATCAGTTTTATTTCATTTCACTCAAGGTGCTATATATATATATGTATACACATGTATATATGCTTAGAGCGTTAATTTCCCTACATACCATTTCTTAAAACCTTTTTACTCTGAATTATCGTAACATCTCCCATTCACTTTTTTTCATATCTTTATTATTCGTTACCTTTTTCACATCCCGGTCTGTATGTAATTGATTACTGCCGCCATCTATTTCATTTACATTGATCTGGAATTTATGGGCAACCCATTTTAAACTTTTAAGTTTTGTGCTATTTTATTTATTAGTTAAAATAGAGAGAACAATCAGCTTAATCAGATGTATACACATACACACATATTTTATTTATTTATATACATATATATTTTGTGATTAGTTGACACAATTATTATCTTCCTTTTATTCATTTACATTCATTTTACGCTTTTATATATATATCAAACTGTATATGTGAAATTGTTCATTTACGACTTCTATTTCAGATTTTCACCTTTGTCTTAAACGCAGATTGAGTAACGCACAATACTCTTGTAGCATATACATGAATTTAAGTGTTTCTTTTTTCTTCAAAGATTGGACCAGTCAGAATGAGGTTGTACATGTCTACATCTGTATGTATTGGTGCCTTTTAATTGTATTTTAATGGAAAGAAAAAATTGAATGAACAATAAATTGTGTTATTGTATAATTTATTTTCTTATCGTTGAAACAGTTCCAAGTTTTAATGATTCTCAGTTATTGGGTACAGATTCTTTTACTGATTTTTAACCTATGCTGTTTTATTGAGACCTAGTGATAATATTCGCTTGCAAATATCGAGGTAACTGGAGAGGGCTGCAACCATGAAATAGGTAAAGTCGAATGCGCCAACAATTGAGCCACCCCCTCATAATACGTATCTCTAGTAATCTTCCTGATTTTTAAGCAAAGATGGATAGTAGCTAGCAGTGGGATTCAGGATGCACGTTTTGTCCTATTTGGGACTCGTCAGCTGGATGTACCTTCATCCCATCATCGTCCTGATTTGTTGGGTTTTTCCTGTCTTTTAGTGATTGATTAATTGTTTCTTATATGTTGGGTGTTTATCTGAAATGCTTATTACTTCATTTCACTTTTCGTTTAAGTATTTTCTTTCCAATCAACTGAGCATGTTTAATTATTTCCTACTAGTATTCTGTTTTTCGATCGAAGTAACTACATTGGATTTCTTATACCTAGTCATTTTTTTGAGGGAGAATACAAATGAACTTTAGTTCTGGTTATGTTTTATGTTGACTTAAGGACTTTAGATGAATTGTTGAAGAGTCTTGTTGTTTTATATGCTCCACATTTTTATTTTCTCACCTTGATTGAAACTTCATATTAGAAATCATCCTGATAGTGGTTATATATAATTTACTTATTATGAACTTAGTTGATTATTAGTGCTTTGAAACTCATCTGATTTAAGATTTCTTAGTCAACATGGTTACTATGACTTGACATGAAGGATTTAATAATGTGTAATCCAGTCGCTGTCTATGATTATCGTTTGTACTTTATGTTTTTTTTTGTTGGTAGTTATATGATGTAACAATAATCAATTCAATTAATCTCGTAAGTCGTACTTGACTTCTACATTTTAACGGTGGTAGTTTACATATTATACTTCATTATAATTCATCAGTTTGTTAAATATTTTCATCATGTATAATTTATCATTTATTTACAATTGTACTATTAATGATATATGCAAAGTTGAATTTGTCATATCCAGTTCAGTTGTATAAAATGAAGTTTTATTAATTGAAAGTGTATATTAGTGTACATTGATATAAATATATGCAAAAGTCAATGGAAACGATATATTTATTGCGATAAACAAACTAATCCACATTTTTATGTTCAGTATTAAATATTTAGTTGTACATGAAATAAAGCATCTACAATATTCTAACCGTAATGCATATATTTTATAAGTAATATGTACGTTTCAAAATAAAATGGAGAAATGTTCATATATTTTAGTCGATAAGTAACATACAAATATAATTTCCTAAACACCATGTTATGACCGTAAAAAAAAGTAATCTCAAATTAAACCTTGTTAATAAAGTACTTTCACTGTTTATAGAAAGCATTAAAGATTGTGAGGAATTACATATTACATATCCATTGTTATTTTGGCATTACTAGGTGATATCAACAAAATATTATTAGTCAATAATAATATTACTGGGATACATGCCAAATGGTTTGCAAGAGAATAATTTATTTGACTGTGTATTAAATAACCTAACTTGAAATAAAATAGAACGGTTAAATACAACATTATCAAAGGAAACAAGTATTTTGATGGAGTTTTGTTCTCTAAGCTGGATGGTTTGGTCGTGGAGCCTTCATCGTTCTTTTGAACGACATCAGCAGAAACTTCAGATAGGACTGAAGTGTTCAAATTTCTCCATATACGTTTCACAGCTTGTTCTGTACACCTCGACGTTGATTAGTTCTTATTGACCTTAAATTTGTTATTGTTTACTTCTACTACTGAAAAGAAGTAAACAATGACAAATTTAAGGTCAATAAGAACCAATCAACGTCGAGGTGTACGGAACAAGCTGTGAAACGCATATGGAGAAATTAGACAATTTGGACTTCGCAGATGACCTAGCCCTCTTATCCCATACACACGAGCAAATGCAAATAAAGACAGTCAATGTGGCAGCAGTTTCTGCATCAGTAGGCCTCAACATACACAAGAGAAGAAGCAACACCCTCAAAGACAACACGGAGAACACCTATCCAATCCCACTTGAAGGAGAAAATGTGGAGTCATTTAGGTACCTGTCTAGACAGCATCATCAATGAACAAGAAGGATCTGATGAAGACGTAAAGGCGAAGATTGACAAAGCAAGGACAGCATTCCTAAAATTGGAGAACATATGGAACTCAAAACAAATGACTGAAATCCAATATAAAAATCAGAATCTTCAATACCAACGTCGAGGCATTTCTACTGTACGGAGCTGAAACGTGGAGAACTACTACTAGAATCACCAAAAGGGTACAAGTATTTATAAACCATTGTCTACGTAAGATACTCGATATTCGTTGGCCGGATGCCATCAGCAACAGCCTACTGTGGGAGAGAACATACCAGCTTCCAACTGAGGAGGAAATCAGGAAAAGACGTTGGAAGTGGATAGGACATACATTTCAGAAATCACCAAACTACATCACGAGACAAGCCCTAAATTAGAATCCATAATGGAAACGGAAAAGAGAAAAACCGCGGAACACACTACGTCGGGAATAAGAAGCAGTCATCAAAAAGATGAATAGCAACTGTAAAGGATTGCCCAGGATTGGGTTGGATGGCGAGTGCTGGTGGCCGGCCTATGCTCCTCCACTAGGAGTAACAGGCGTAAGTAAGTAAGCAAAATTATGAGTTAAGTCATATATACACGTGTACATACAAATATACTGCTACACATATTAATCAAATCTACCCACCAGTTTAAACCCAAATGATGAATCGTTATATACAGTAACAGAATAAAATTTCATTGAAAACACTAGTGAAAATACCATGACCTAAGATTGTCAAAAGCAAATGCGAATCATTCAAGTACAGACAGTAAAATGCAAAAAACGTGCAAAAATTTTTTGAGTAAGCATCCATTTATTCATCTATCTATCTGTCTATCTATCTATTTTACTTTTGATCCCTTTTTAATTACCTATATAATTTAACACTTCTTTTATTCATGAATGAAACCTTAACTTATTTTCATTGAATTATTTCTTTGTAAATTATTATTCTTTAATTACCTCTTTTCTAAATGTCTTTCCTCTTTGATCCGTTTTACCAATGATTCATTTTGACTTGAACACATTCAGTACAATAAACTTATCAGGATGGATAAATGTTAATTTTCGTATATAGTTACCTTTTTTATTGACCATTATGTCAAAAATAACTACAAATGGCAATGATTTATTTATTTTAAAAGTTAGTGCCAAATCACATGTATGTTAATGTAAGGAAAAAATAAATTATATATCAATTATTGTCACTAAAAATCCATTATGAAATGAAAATTTAAGTTAGAAATTTGAAGTACTTGAATCATTAACCAATTTAAGGGTGAATATATTAATTACTTACTTTCTTACTTACGTTTGTTAGTCCTTGTGAAACATAGGTCACCGATCAGAATTCTTCATTGAACTCTTTCCTTGATAATTCTTCCCAGCTGCTATTCATTCTTTTTCTGTCTGCTTCCAATTCCGTATGCAATATGTTCTTTGGTCATCCTCCTTTTCTTTTCCTTTCAGCATTCTATGTTATGTCTTACTTCGTGATGCAGTTTGGTGATTTCCGTAGTGCATATTCTATCCACCTCTAGCGTCTCAATTTAATTTGTCTTGTCACAGTAGGTTG